GGTATCTCTATTTGCAACTTTTTGAGAAAGCGCCATACCGCCTTCCACAGTGGTTGCACCATTTTACACTCCCACCAACAGTGAATAAGGTTTCCAGTTTCTCCACAACCTCGCCAGCATTTGTTGCTTGCTGTTCTGTTAAATTTTGCTATTCTGACTGGGGTGAGATGATACAGTTGTTTTAATTTGCATCTCTCTTAGAGCTAGGGATTTTGGACATTTCTTCACGTGCTTGTTAGCCCTCTGAATGTCTTCTTCGATGAAGTGTCTGTTCATATCCTCTGCCCATTTTTCTATTGGATTATTTACCTTTATCTTGTTGTGGTGCTCAAGTATTTTATAAATTCTGGATATAGGTCCCTTATCTGATATGTCATTATCAAACACTTTTTCCCAGTCTGTGGCTTCCCTTTTTACCCTGTTGGAGAAGTTTTTGGATGTGCATAGGGATTTGATTCTTAGAAGATCCCATTCACCTTTTTATCTTCTCCTGGTTGTTAAACAATGATTCTTTAGATAAGCATAAGAAAGAAAATACAAAATATAAAGTGAAATTTCATCAAAATGAAAAATTTATGTACTTTAAAGGACACTACCAAGGAAATCAGACAACGTGATGGCATGTAACAACAATAGCAGCTGACACAGAAGAATGTCAAGAAACAGTATATGATCAAGAGACAATGGTGATAAAGGAGGAAATGCAGGCTGCTCTGAAGGAATTTTCAAAAAAACAAAGCCCCAGGAATTGATGGAATACCAATTGATGTATTTCAGCAAACAGATGCTGCCCTACATGTGTTCACCAAGTTGTGCCAAGAAATCTGGAGGACAATTACTTGGCCAACTGACTGGAAGAAATCCATATTTATTGTCATTCCAAAAAAGGTGACCCGACGGAGTATGGAAATTATCTAATAACATCATTAATATCAAACAATAGCAAAATCCTGCTGAAGATTATCTAGAAAAAACTTGAACAGTACATTGACAGAGAACTACCAGAAGTATAAGTTGGGTTTAGAAGAGGTTGTGGCACTAAGGACATTATTGCCAATGTCATATATATCTTGGCAGAAGGCAGAGTGTATCAGAAGAATGCCTATCTGTGTTTCCTTGACTATGTAAAGGCATTTGACTGTGTGAATCACAATAAATTGTGACTAACCTTGAGGGAAATGGGAATCTCAGAACACTTGGTCATACTTATATGAAACCTATGCTTGGACCAAGAAGCAGTCCTCAGAACAGAGCAAGGAAGCACTGCATTGTTCAAAATCAGGAAAAAAGTGTGTCAGGGATGCATCCTGTCCCCATACCTTTTCAATCTGTATGCAGAACAGATCATTTGGGAAGCGAACCTTTATGAGGAGGAGTGTGGCATCAAGATTGGAGGAAGACTCATTTACAACTCATTTACAATGCATGATATTCAGATGACACAACCTTGTTTGCTGAGACTCAAGAAGATCTGAAACACTTGCTGCAAAAGGTCAAGAACTATAGTCTTCAATAAGGATTGAAGCTCATCGTCAAGAAGACAAAGATTCTCACCACTGTGCCAATTGACAGCACCATAATAGATGGAGAAGAAATTGAGGTTGTTAGCAATTACAGCTTGCTCAGATCCACAATCAATACTCTTAACACCAGCAGTCAGGAAATCAAAAGATAAATTGCTTTGGGAAAATCTGCTGTCATGTACCTATCCAGAGTGCTAAAGAGTTAATGATGTCAGTCTAGATAAAAAAGTGCCCCTAATCCAGGCCATGGTCTTCTCAATTACTTGATTTTTTTAAAGGTTTTTTTTTTTCATTTTAATGAAAGTTCATAGAGACTTTAGATTTCCATTCATTCATTGTTGCACATTTTTCTCCCTGACTATCCCTCCCTCCTGTTAATTTTTCTCTTCGAAAAGTAAAAAAAACAAACACAAAACCCAACAAAAACTTCTGTTATTATACAATTCCCTCTCCCCCACCCCACCCCCTGAGTCCACTCCTGCATGCAGCTCTCATTCTGGACTCTTGTTATGAACATAATACCTAACCATATATTCCTTTCAAACAGTTCTCTCCCTGATCTGTTTCAATGCAGTATACATTTTTATCCCCTTTTCTTAGATTCCCCCCAACCCCGATGTCAGTCCTGCTTTACAACAGTGGCATTATGCAGGATTTGTCCCTTTGTGACTGAGATATTTCACTCAGCATAATGTCCTCCAGGGTCACCCGTTTTTATTTCATGAGTTCCTTGTTTTTCAATGCAGTGTAGTAGTCGCTCGTGTGAATATACCACAGCTTCTCTATCCATTCGTTTGTTGATGGCCACTTGGGTTGTTTCCACCTCTTTACTATTGTGAACAAAGCCGTGATAAACATGGGATAAACATGGGTGTGCTTGGGTGGCAGTTATGGTTATATTTAGAGTATATTCTCATTAGTGGAATTGCTGGGTTCAAATGGTATTTCTATTTCCAACTTTTTGAGAAAGCACCACACTGCCTTCCACAGTGGTTACACCATTTTACAATCCCACCAACAATGAATAAGGGTTCCAATTTCTCCACAACCTCGCCAGCATTTCTTATTTGCTGTTCTGTTAAATTTTGCTCTCTTACTGGGGTGAAATGATATTTCATAGTTGTTTTGATTTGCCTTTCTCTCAGAGCTAGAGATTTTGAACATTTCTTCATGTGTTTGTTCACCATCTGAGTGTCCTCTTTGGTGAAGTGTCTGTTCATATCCTGTGCCCCTTTTTCAGTTGCGTTGTTTACCTTTATCTTGTTGTGGTGCTCGAATATTCTATGAATTCGAGATATGTCCCTCCTTATCAGACATGTCATTACCAAGTAATTTTTCCCCGTCTTAGGCTTCCCTTTTTACCCTGTTTGAGAAAGTTTTGGATGTTGCATAGGGATTTGATTCTTAGAAGGTCCCATTCATCTATTTTATTCTCTCCTGGTGTTAGGTTTTTCAGGATCCTTGGAAGACTGTTTATGTTGTGGATTAGGACTTCTTGAGTTCTTCCAAGCTTTTCTCTAATGAAGTTTATAGCTCTTGGATTTAGGCCTAGGTCCTTGATCCACTTTGAGTTGGTTTTTGTGTATGGAGTTGAGGTATGGATCTTGCTTGAGTTTTCTGCAGATAGTTTTCCAATTTTGCCAGCACTATTTGTTAAAAAGGTTGTCATTTCCCCATTTAACTGTCTCCTTGTCAAAAATCAGTTGACCATAGGTAGATGGGCTGATTTCTGGATTCTAAATTCTATTCCATTGATCTATGTGTCTCTTGTTGTACCAGTACTACACTGTCTTGACTACTAGGGCAGTGTAGTAAGATTTGAAATCCCATAGTGAGATGCCTCCTACCTTGTTTCTCTTTTTAAGGAGTGCTTTTCTTATCCTGAGCCTCTTTCCATTCCAAATGAAATTGGAGGTTGCCTTTTCCATATCATTGAAGAACGGAATTGGTATTTGTATTGGGATTGCATTGAACGTATAAATTGCCTTTGGTAAAATTGTCGTTTTCACAATATTGAGTCTTCCTATCCATGAGCATGGGATATTCTTCCACTTCTCCAGGTCTCTTTGATTCTTGTAATAATGTTTTGTAATTTACTTTTAATAGATCCTTTGTTCTTCTGATTAGGTTTACTCCTAAGTATTTAATCTTGTGATTAGCTATTGTGAAGGGTATTGTTTTTCTCAGCTCCAGTTCTGTATTCTCTTCATCACTGTAGAGAAATCCAATTGATTTTTGTATGTTGATCTTGTATCCTGCCACTTTTCGGAATTGGTCAACTATGTCCAGTAGTTTTCTTTCTGAGTTTTTAGGGTTTTCTAAGTATGCCACCATATCATCTGCATATAGAGATAATTTTACCTCCTCTTTGCCAATTTGCCAATTTGGATACCTCTTATTTCCTTGTCTTGCCTTATTGCTATCGCTAAGACTTCCAATACAGTATTGAACAGGAGAGGTGATAGTGGGCTTCCTTGCCTAGATCCTGTTCTCAAAGGGAATGCCTTTAGTCTCTCTCCATTGAGAACAAATAATTACTTGTTATGTTTCAGAGAGTTGGACAATGACTAAGGATAACAGAAGAATAGATGCCTTTGAATTGTGGTGCTGGAGAAGAGTCTTGAACATACCATGGACTGCCAAGAAGACAGATTGGTCTGTCTTGGAGAGGGTGAAACCAAGTATCTCGTTGAAGGCTAATATTTTGAAGCTCAGCCTTACTTACTTTGGGCACATGGCCAGAAGAGATAGGTCTTTAGAGAAGGACATCATGTTTGGAAGGGTGGATGGACAGGGCAGGAGAGGAAGACCTCAGATGAGATGGATTGATACAGTGACTGCAGCAATGGGGGTTGGTGTGTCAGAATTAGTGAGACTGGCTCAGGACAGGGAAGGGTTAAGAGCTGCTGTACATAGGGTCACTAAACATTGAAGGTGACTCAATGGCACATAAAAACAAAAACGTACTATAACAGGTTTGGAAGCAGGAGTGACATCCACTTCCTAAACAACATGCTTCTGAAAAGTCTATGAACTTTGATATATGTTGATAGTTGTAGAGAGGCTTCAGGCCTTTTGTTCATGAGGTCACTATGAGTCAAGCTCGACTCGAAGGCAATCAATAACAACAACAACAACAACATATCTATTAAGGAACTTATAACTGGAATAAAGAATGTTTACAACTCAGGAAGCAGAAGAAATAATTATAGATATTATAATTGTCCATTATAAAAGGGCAATGGCTTTCTGCAAGGATACACAAATGATTACAAAGCACAGAAAAAGTACTTAACACCATTAGTCATTGTTGTATCTTTCAATAAAGCTGTTAATTTGAAAAGTTTTTTTGTTAGATTGCACAGCAGAGTTTTCTGGGACTCACTGTTCATTCATTTTTATGCATTGATCTCCCTTCTCCCTACCCTCAGGCCAGGATAGTTAATGGGGATGCAGAAAGAAGTCACAGAAATCCAGACAATGAAGGTAGTGGCTATGATGGCATGGTTTGGGGAGAGCTTTCTGGTGTTTAAACTTATGAGTTTTCAAGCCATTTTCTAGGTCATCATTTCATTTAATTTGTGCATCAATACATCCATTAGATAGAGAAATGGAAGTGGGAATGAGGGTATTGTGACCTTCTTTGCTTGGGTGTTTCTAAAAACTGAGTAGTGTAAAAGGGCAATGTCTTGTCCAGTGTAACATAACTAGTTACTTGTGGAGCGTACTTCCCCTCTATGTACTGGGCCTGAACAGAAGGTACCCTTCTCAGTTCTTGACGTGGGACAGGGCAGGCCCTGGGACTCACCGAATACACAGAGGAGCAGAATGCTTGTCTTCTCTGTGAATTTCTGGAAGAACATCTTACATCTGAAAGGCAGAGAACAATGGTCAAGGAGAGGCAGGACTTTGCATAGACTAGTAATTTCTGCTTCTACCTCTACTCCTTTCTAACTTTGAGAGAGAGGGCCCTTTCTGACAAGGGAGACCACAACGCTGACAGTCTGCTATGGCTGTCTTGTATCCCAGAAGAAAGCTAGCTCATACTCCATCCTGGTAGCCCACCTGAAATTAACTCAGTGTTCACCCTTCTCTCTCCGTCTGTGTGCTATTTGTTCATTTCTCTTCTTTTCTACCTGGTGAACTACTCTTTCAGGACTAAGCTCAGATGCTCCTTCCTCCTAGCACTCTAAGCTAGGCTCTGGGATTTTTTTCATCTATGATTTTACCACCCAGTTGGGGAGCTTCTGAGTCAGCGTAAATTCATAGCTAGATCCAGAGTAGATATTCAGGAAACAGTTAAAATTTAGACTTTAAAGGCATGAATGAGGGGGACAACTCTGTAGGAACTCAGATTTACCTGGGTTGGAAGGAGCATGAGGAAGGATGGGAGGGACATTGTGGGCAGAAAGAACAGCATGTGCAAAAAGTGTGGAGGTGGCAATGGGAGTGGTGTATCCGATGGTCCCACCATAGGAACCAGAGTGAATCAATGCAAAGACAGGAGAGAAGAGTGAGACAAAGTTACAGGGAGCAGCAGGGTAAAGAGCGAGAGACAAATTGGAAGTCCAGTGAGTTCTACGGTGAGGGAACCTTATGAAAGGAAAATAAACAAAAGAAAATGCAAACTCACTGCTGTCAAGTTGATTTCCTACTCATAGTGATGAAAGCCAAGAGGAGGTCTAAATCAATGAGGGAGTTGTCATGATTACCAGCTACCTACTCTCAGGCCCTATCACCCCCCTTTACCTACCGCTTCTTACCTGCAGGTGTTGAACAGGACTCCATAGGCCCGGGTCCTCAGAAAGCAGGCCATGCAGGTGAACCACGCTGCAGAAGAGACAGGAGAACAATGTACAGCTGCCCTATCCTCATCCCCATACAAGAACTCACTACATGTCCTGGGTTTAGGAGAAGAAACTAGAGCTAGAAAACCATTCCTATGGTGTCAGAAACCTTGAAAATAGGCTCTTCTACCCATTGCATTAGCCTCCAGAGAGGGAATGTTCTCTAGCTACCCTAACTATGGACACATCTATAGTCTTGCAAATCATCAACAGCTGTGGGACTGATATAAGAGAACACTTCCACAGTGTGAGAGATGGCAGTTAGAGGAACTGTGAGGATACTGTGAGACACAGTGGTGGAGAGAGGGTGAAGAGATTGGCACTGCTTTGAAGAGACTGTGGCAAGGTGTAACCCGAGGAATCCTGGAGATGGAGCCATAGTTAAAAGTTTTGCTTGATGAATGATTGAAGGAAAAGCTGACTTGTAAGTTCTCTGAGAGAGAGTTTACTGGATGACTGGGGAAACTAGAGGCTTCTTGTACTTGTGCTGCTGAAGTGAATCTGTGGGGATAATTCCCCTTTATGAAGTGGGTCGAAGTCAGACTTGGCCACCACCACATTGTATCTTCTTTCACAATCCCTACCTTGCTAGTTGATCCCAGTGTAGACCTGCTTATGAGTTAAGTGCAAGTATAGAATGAGCAGGTGAATAGTGTTTGTAGTTAGCAGTAAATAGATAACTAATAATGATTCAGGAGCATAAAAACTTGGGCCATGCTAATATCCATTCCCACAGATATCTGGAACTTCTCAAGGGTGAAGTTCTTGCCTGGTTCATCTATGGATGCCTAGACAAGCATGAAGCCAGACAAAGATAGGCTTGTTTCAAGGTAGGCCAGATGAAAGTTGTTTGTTAGAAGAATTGATAGAGGGGTAAAAGGGAGATTGAATGAATGGATGAATGAGGTGTGGGTGAATTGGAGAATGGAGGAGGGATGGAAAATGAAAGGATGGATGGATGATGGATAAAGGAAAAGTTGGGCTGATTGACTGGATGGGTGTGCATATTAACAAGTAAAGTAATGAGTGAACTGATGGATGAACTAATGGGATGCGTGGACATCACAACAAAGGACAGATGGTTGGATAAATGAGTAAATGGAAAAGTAAGTGGACGAGTGGGTGAATGAGCAAGGACGTAGAAGTAATGATGAGTTGTATCCAACCATTCCCATGCCTTTATCTTTGTGCTCTCTCAGTGGTGAGACTGGAGGCAGAGTAAGGAGGGCTGGCATTAACTCCTTGTTAACTCCTTGTTAACCAACCCATCTTCCTCCTACTTCCTCCTTCTCATTAACCACCAAAGAATTTCACAAAGGAAATAACATCCCTGATAGAGACACTCTCAGAGCTCAACTCTCTCTTTCCCCCTCACATGGACCATACCCCCTTAGGTAAGCCTGGACCCTCCCCCCAGATCCACACTGATAGCCAAGGTGGCCCTTCAGCATGTACATACACATAAATCCCAGCATGCACTGACTCAGGCCTGGGGCACTTATGTGCGCAGGCAACAGGAGGGTGTCAGGATCTGTGGAGAGAAGAGGGACTTCCATGTCACTGCAAGCTGCAGGGACAAGGTGTACTTGCAGTGACAAGGTGTAGGCAGAAGATTGGGGAGCAGCCCAGAGCTTAGTGCAAGTATCCCTTCCCCTTAACTGGGTGACCCCAAGTTGCCTATTTGAATGTCTGAGCCTCAGTCCCCCAGCTGCCCGTGAAGACTCCAGGAACCTGTCCCACACTGCTCACTTGTGTTTGGCAAGGAGTTCTCTGTCATCCTGCTGATGTTCCGGTTTCTTTGATTGACTCTGAGGATAACAAGATTCACACATTTTACGAGTTACAGGGAACGTCAAGTAGGGGAGGCAGTAAATGGACCAGTATTCCCACATTCAGAGAGACTGAACTGCAGAGTGATTTGTCCAAGACCATTCATTAGTCAGTGGATGATCATAACCAAAGACAGACTCAGATCTGGTTGACCAGGTCTCTTGAAGAAAGAGATTGACTCAGTTTGTCATCCTAAAGCCACCACTTCCTCTTGCTGGCACAAGTCTGATTTTGTTGCCTCATCCTCTCCCACTTCATGAAAATATAGATGATTCTGATTAGCCTGAACTTAACTGTAGTATTCTCAAGTATGGAACTTGGGTGGGAAATTTTTCTCATTGCTAAACAGAGATGCATGAGAAGCAATGACCACTATCTCTTCCCCCTGTGTCGTCTGTGTTTCTATGTGACCCTTAGAACCACCACGAGTGGAGGATCAATGCAAAGATGACAGGAAACTGAGTCTTGGACGGCAGTGCAGAATCATATGATTCATATATTCTGGAGTCACCACACCTTGGGATCCCTTGGTATGGGAATAACTATACTCCTTAAAGCAATCATCTCCTAATATTTTTTATTATACCCTCAATGTGTATGTTTATTAATTAAAAAATTATATATATATATGCTCCATTATAATACTATTTACCTTTCCTAAATATATGCCTCTTGGCTTGAAGGGTTGTGATTTTTAAAAATTATTATTATACCACTTTATTTAACAAATTCAAAACATTGTTTTCCAAAACAGATTCTTCCAATTTTCCTCAATCCCCCACCCATCAAATTGTACAACCCCAGGGGAGCTCTGGTGGCCTAATAGCAAGAAGCTGCACTGCAATCCCAGAGATGCATGGTTCGAATCCACCAGATGCTCTGCTGGGAAAGGAGGGACAATCTCCTCCTGTACCAGTCAGATCTGATCTGACAGTACACAGACACACATACACAAAATAATAATAAAAAAAAGAAAAAAATTGTACAACCCCATGATTAATTCCCCCCTCCCCCGCACATCCTCATCCCTCTGCTTCCCCCCTCCCACCTTCCCTTGGATTCTTATCGTCATTCTACAATAATGATTTTCTACAATATTTGTTCTTGTGGAACTGAGTTAGTTCACTCAGCATAATGATCTCCAGTCCCTAAGATGTGTGTTTTTAAAAGAGAACGAGATAGAGTAATACACATTGAAGATTCTTCACCCCAATGTGCTGTTCTGTGTACTCTCCGGAAGACACAAACGTAGGCATCATTTGAGTTAGAATTTCTTGAAACCAGACACATGGAAACAGCCACTGCTCATCCCTTTGACTTGTGATTATGAATGCTTTGAGGCCAGGGAGGATAGTCCACGGTGCCATGCTGTGCTTCCAGTGCCCTCGGCACCTTCTGGCACCTAGTAGATACTTAACAAGCATGTTAGGAGGACAACCATTCTGCTGTTTGTTTAGTTGGCAGAATTTGAGACAGTTATTGTCAAGGCTCTGGGACCTCAGTGTCCGCATCTGTGAAATGCAGTTCACAGTGACAGCTCCCCTCTGAAGAGAGCACTGAGTGGCTGCACTTCGTTGAGGACTTCAAAGGGCTGGGCCAAGGGAGGGGCTGCTGTCCTCACCTCCTGGACCTCGCAGTGTGGTCCAGGTTTTCGAATGTGGCATCTGGATTCCTTGGGCTCCTTGAGAACCGTGGCATCCCTTTCCCTCTCTAGGCCTGAGGCTTCTCTGATGCAGGTTAGTTTTCTCAAGGAGATGGTGAGGAGGAAGTGGCTATTGCCACTGATGCTTCCTCTGATGCTTCTTTGAAAGGTTCATGTGAGATTCTCAGCACTATGACCTCACAGAGCAGGTGGGTGGGGGCCCCAGGCTGGACTCCAGTCTGGCCCCAGAACCTTTGGAAGCCCTGTTAGAGGATGCCATTGTGACAATTTTTGTTTTTTATTTAAATGGACTTTTTTTAAACCTTTGAAAAATTTTGATAAAACACAAACTATTTATGGCAAACTTTTGCCATAGGAACAGGACAGTACATTCATAACCATCACAACTATCTAGTTCCAGAAGGTTTTCATCATGTTGAAAGGAAACCTATGTCCATTAAACAGGCAGGTGCTCACTATATCCCCTTGCTCAGTGTCTGTTCAGTTGTCATGGAATTAATTTAGACTCAGGTTGATCCCGTGAGCCTCAGAATAGAACTATGCTCTGGAGGGTTTTCAAGTGCTGATTTTCCAGACATAGACCATCCCAGCCCTTCCTCTTGAGTCACCTGTGTATAGAATTGAACCACCAATCTTTAGCAGAGATCACGTTAATTCTACCACTCAGGATTCCATTAGTCATTAGGGAAACTGGTTTGCAGCGAACTGCTAATCTCAAAGAAGTTCTGGTGGCATAATCTGTAGGGTGTTGTACTACTAACCAGAAGACCTTGCATTGCTGCTGGTTCAAATCCACTAAGTGTTCTTTGGGAGAAAGATGGACAGGCTCCTCCCATTATGATTTACAGCAGCCAAGAAATTAAAGGACGTCTTGCATTGTGAAAGTCTGCTGTCAGAGAACTCTTCGGAGTACTGAAGAGCAATGATGTCAGTCTGGATACTAAGGTGTGCCTGATCCAGGCCATGGCCTTTGCAATCACTTGCTATGCATCATAGAGCTAGACAATGACTAGGGATGGTAGAAGGAGAATTGATGCCTTTGAGCTGTGGTGCTGGAGAAGAGTATTAAATATAACATGGACTGCTAGGAGAATAAACAGGTTGATCTTAAAGAGGGTGAAACCAGGCTGCTCTTTTGTCTGACATACTTTGGACAGGTTGCAAGGAGAAACCAGTCCTTGGAGAGGGACGTCATGCTTGGGAGGGTGGAGGGACAGTTCAGAAGAGGAAGATCCTCCGTGAGATGGATTGATTCAGTGCCTGGGGTAATGGGAGGTGTGTCAGAGACAATAAGATTGGCACAGGATAGAGCAGGATTTAGGACTGTTGTACATAGGGTCGCTATGAGTCTCAGGCAACTTGACGGCACATAACAACAACAAATCTGATGGAGGGTCGGACTGACTTGATGGTACTACTTTGATTTGAGTTAAATTGCTAACCTGAATGTGGGTGATTTAAACCAACTTGGCAGAAGGAAAGCATGGTGAACTATTTTAATAAAGATTGTTGTTGTTGTTGTTGTTGTTGTTATGTGCCGTCGAGTCGCCTGCGACTCATAGCGACCCTATGTACAACAGCCCTAAACTCCGCTCTGTCCTGTGCCAATTGCACTGTCTCTGACACTCCCATCCCAATTATCCCAGTCACTGAATCAATCCACCTCATAGAGGGCCTTCCTCTCCTGCGCCGTCCCTCCACCCTCCCAAGCATGATGTCCCTCTCTAAGGACCGGTCTCTCCTCACAACATGTCCAAAGTACTTTAGACGGAGCCTCAGAATCCTTGCCTCCAAGGAGCCACCCGGTTTAACCCTTTCCAGGACAAATCTGTTTGTTTTCCTAGCAGTCCATGGTATTCTCAATACTCTTCTCCAGCACCACAGCTCAAAGGCATCAATTCTCCTTCTATCCTCCTTGGTCATTGTCTTAACTCTCTGATGCATAACAGGTGATTGCAAAGATCATGGCCTGTATCAGATGTACCTTAGTCTCCAAAGAGACACCATTGCTCTTCAGCACTTTGGAGAGGTCCCTAACAGCAGACTTTCCCCATTGCAATGCGCCTTTTAATTTCCTGGCTGCTGGTGCCAAGACTGTTGACTATGGAGCCAAGCAAACTAAAGCTGTGTACAATCTCAATCTCTTCACCATCCATCCTGATGCTGCCAATTGGTCCAGTGGTGAGAATCTTTGTCTTCTTGACATTGAGCCTCAATCCATATTGTAGGCTGCAGTCCTTGACACTCTGCAGCAGGCGCTTCAGGTCCTCTTCAGTTTCAGCAAGCAGGGTTGTGTCATCTGCATAACGCAGATTGTTGATAAATCGTCCACCAATCTTGACCCCACATTTCTCCTCATAGAGCCCAGCCTCCTGGATAATCTGTTCTGCATATAGGTTGAAAAGGTATGGAGATAGGATGCATCCCTGGCGTACGCCCTTCCCAATTTTGAACCATGCAGTGTTCCCTTGCTCTGTTCTGACGACTGCCTCCTGGTCCAAGTATAAGTTTCGCATTAGAACAATCAGGTGTTTACAACCTAAAAAGTTCTAGAACAATTTTACTTGTGGGGTCACCATCATGAGCCAAAATTAACTCAGCAACATTGGCTGTTCTTTGAAGATTGTATGTGTACTTTGTAACGCCCATTTTACAAACGCTAGATTGCATAAAACAGAATCATGCTCATATGCTGCTGGTTTTTTGTTTATGTTTTCCCCCCTTTGTGTGTGCCATCAAATTGGATCCTACTGGCACAGGAGAAGATTGCCCCTCCTTCTCTAGTGGAGCATCTGGTGGATTCAAACTGCATGTTTTTGGGGCTGCAATGCAGTTTCTTGCCACTAGGCCACCAGTGCTCCCTAACATGTTGCTGTTTTAATAAAGACTTATTCTTTTAACAGACAGAAAAGAAAAGCACAGAGTGGAAATGTTAAGTTTTTTTCTAACAGAAAAGCCTTGCTTAGCTATTTGGATTGTGACACTAATACAAAGTCACTTTTTTCCCCTAATGGTGATCGTTCAATTGTTCAAATATG